TTTTAAAAAAGGAGGCTGTGGCCAGGTCCTTCCAGTAACTAAATGCTCTTGGACAAGGTCCAAGGTAGTGTGCTATAGTGAGTTTGCCATGTGTTTTATTTAAAGTCAAGAAAACAAATTATCTGAAGCAGTGACTTAAGTTTAAATCTTTATCTCCCACTAAAAATTTTGCAAAACATTTCCCTTCATTCCATCACTAAAAAAAATTACGTGCCTGGAAGCTTCTACGTCCTGTCCTACAGGGATTATCTGGGTGGAAGTTATTATTATGCCTATAAACTTAACTTACAGATGTTACAGATAATTTAAAAAGGAATTTCAGTAGATATTTCCCATTTTCAAAGTGCTAATAGATATGTTATGGCATAATCAATTAAAAATTAAGGTTTAAACTCTTAAAGACTTCAGAACTCCAGACAATATAGTGAACAATCATGACTTTAGAAAACTAGTGATGATGTTGGCAGAAAAGAGATGCACTGAAGGTAAATAATGTAACTTAATTTTTTTTGCCAGCCATAGCCAATGTATTTATCTTTATTTGTTAGGGGGAAGAGGGAGTGTCTCTTGGGATGGGCATAAATTAATGGGTAGGGCTAAAGATGTTATTGAAAGAACATCAAGAAAACATTTTAAAATATACAAAAACATAACAAAGTTCAGAAGGGGACACAAATGCCAATTCTGTTACTCACTGTTTAAATTAAAATACATTTTCAAAAACTAGCTAAAAAGTTGATGAGTTTATGAAAAATTCTTTTTGTTATTTGCATTTTGAAATTTTTACTAATAACTAAAGTTCATGACAAACAGGTAATTTCTTAAAATAAAGTTTACAATATTTAAAAATTTCCTTCCCACTCAGTTGAGTGTCATGTAATGTCTGTTCTATGGTTTGTGGCAACAATCACTTTTCACAGTCTACTGACTATTTGCAGTTTCTACTTCTTCTGGTATACCAGACTCCTAAAATCCACTCCATACATCTACAAATATATTGGTATATAGCACTTTTGCATATCTACTCTCTGTATTTTTCTACATCATAAGAGTGTTTTCTACTTATACACATTTTTTAAAAAAATCTATTAAATCCAGAACAACAAACTACAAACACAGGAAAATTTTAAAGAAACGGTGAAGTAACTAACCTATCAAATACATTTTTAATTTTTTAAAGGTAGAGTAAAACATACAATCTGGTAAAATATCATGATATATGAATCAGCACAGATTACTGCTCATCACTTTTACATTTACCTATAGGTATTCCCCTTGAGTAGAATAGAAGGGGAAATAAGACTGAAAGGTCTTACTTTGTGCAAACACAGTTTCTAATTCCAAAAAGCAACAACTGATTAAGTTTAAACAGTATATGCATTAAAAATTTGCAAAGAGAGACTATGAAATCAAATGCATAGAAAAAGAACATGCAGACTTATAGGAAATAATTTTCTAAAATAATTCTAAAAGTATGGCAAATGAAGCAGACCACACAAGGGACTTAAATGGACAAATTAAATTTGCACTGATTTTGTAGTTACTAGATACAAATAAGCTATATTAATATGTATCATAAAATTGTCATAAATTGACATATTTATGCTCATAAGGCTGCAATAATGATGATTTATTTCAAGGACATCTTAAAAATAACAAGTAATGTCATCTGGGGAAAATACGAGATTTGGAGGAGACCCCAGTTCAAATCAGCTGTGCAACTAAATGACTGTCACCTCTGTGACTGACCATGGGTGAACTCATCCTATATGGAGCAAATTAATATGCATTCATTATACTTTTACATCTAATTTAGGATAAATCAAGGCTGAATGATGAACTATGTACAATATTAAAAACTGAAGATTCACTAAAAGAGAATAGAAAGAACACTGGACTGAGAATCAGGAGATGTGAGTTCTAGTCCTAACTCTGTCATTAACTAGCTGGGTGACCCTGGGTAAGTTACTAAACCTTTCTGAGTCTCAGTTTTCTCATCTGAAAAATAAGGAAACTGGATTATATGACTTCCAAAAATCATCTTGCAACTCTAAGATTATTACAACAGAGAGAGACAGACAGACAGACACACACACACACACACACACACACACACACACACTCCTTAAAGTTGATCTCTAAAGGCTTCTTAATGCTAGTTTGCAGATAAAGTTCAGTAAATGTACTGCATTAAACAAGCAACAGATTGGGTTAAAACAATGCAGATTTTCAAATTCACATATTACAGGAAACATTTTTAGATGAGATCACATGAAAATAAATGTGTCTTTCACAGTTACAGGATGAAATTTTAAGTTGGCCAGGCAACCAATGCCCTGATTTTCCACTTCTTTTTGCAGACCATATGACTTCCACATGCTGAGAGTGTTTTAGGCTGTAACCTGCAATGAAGATTTTACAATGTTCCAGCAATCCAATAACCAGTGCTTAAAATGCAACAGTAAACACTTTACTCAGATAAGCCTGGATTACAAATCAAGATTTCAACTCAAATACTGCTCAGGGATAGGAAAGTTGGGGTTTTTTCCCCTAAAATATGTTGTTCTCATTTCAAAAGAAACATCAAAGCAGTATATCAATAAATGTTGATTGAAAAACTGGGCAACAGGAAGTAAATGGGTTAAGAGATGTTCCTTGATATTTATCTTTTCATTTACATTTTGCTTTTGCATTCTAAATAATTTATTTCTCTGACACTGAAGTTTCTATACTTTATATTCTACAATTATATAACATCTTTTCTCAAAAGAGCTTAGCTTCATTTTAAAAATTATTCTAATTAATATTACTAAAATACAAGCAAATAATTTTAGAAATCTAAGTATCTAACAACTGCAATGATGGTTTTCAAGGAGATCAAAACATTCAAGAATATAAAGTTCTGATTTAAAAAACACATTAACTGTTTCTATATAGGTCAACCTAAATATACACTTGTTATCTCTCACATTTCCAATTACCAGCCAGTTTATTGGTGTGAATGACCAATTCCAGAAAGTCTGATTTCCATATCAAAGGTAACAGAACATACGTACAGTAGCTATGTGAATTCAGGTTCTTATTGCTTCCAAGATCCCATGATGACAGCTAACAATGAGTATTAAGAACTAGCAGATTTGGGATAAATGTATTTGAATACCTTAATTTTCTAAACACCTGAAAAAATCATATCAACTCCTCTGCTCGAGAGTCCCTCACAGGAAAACAAGCAAACTGTTCCCATAAGCAAAGGTTCCAGAAAGAACTTCATTTGGGGAATGGAACAAAGTGTTCAACACTCGGGTTTCCATCACTTAATGTAACTCTAAGAACTGTTAGAAATGTTAATGTGATTGAAGCTATAATTTTTTAAAAATGTTATCTTCTCATAATAGTAATCAAAACTTAAGAAAATAATTAAAATTATTTTTCCAGAGTTTGATTCACATACACAATTCGAACACATGAAATAACTTGGATTTAAAGACTAGGAATAAGGAAATTTAAGGCAGGAAACTGCAATGCTAAAGTGATAATTACCTGTGACAGAATTGGCAGAAAAAATGATGCCGATTATTCCCCTCTAATGATGCAGGGAATGGCAAAACCAAACAACATGCAACCATATCAGGGGAAAAAATTAAAAAAATAAAAATAAAAAGGCACAGAAGGTATTCTCAACACCCAAGAAATGGCAGCAGCACCAATAGCAGAGGGAAGAAGAAAGGAAAGAAGATAAGAAAAAAGAAAAGACCAAAGGGAGGGTAATGTTTTTGGCACCTGAAGGACCCCGGCAGAAACTGGCTAGTCACATCACACAGTGCCTAGTAGACAGACACTTCTGGACTTTTAACCCCTGGTGTAAATCAACAACACAATCTGTTTATAACAGTCAACTTTATTTAATACAAAATATCTCCTAAAAAAAAAAGCATTCTTCGTTGCTCTCCCACATCCCGATTTCCAGCAACAGTCGAGGTGGAACAGGGTGGGGTAGAGGGAAAAGGCAAGCAGCAGCTTTAACTTGCCCCCAAGCATTACTTCCGACTGGATATCCTGCTAAAAACCCAATTAGCTCTATACCACAAGACAGGCAGGCAGTCCGCCGGTGTTTTCTGAACTATCCACCTAAGCCCCCTCCCACCTTTACAACACCTTCCCTACCAAAAGAGTCCAGCACATTCTTTAAAGAAAACAAACAAATAAACAAACAACACCAATATTTACAAACACCACCAACCGCAACAAAACCACCCTCAAGTAATTAAGCCTTTTTCACCTCGAGAAGAGGCACCCCACCTGTTTTGGGGTGAAGGCGGACGCCTTTCGAAGAAGTCCCTACGGTGTCACCGGAACACGGTTCCGGAGGAGAAGACACAGGGCACTTTTTCGTTTCCCACCTCGGCGGCGCCGCGTCGATCCGCGCCCTCCTTAGGGGTCCTGGTTCCCGGTCGACCCTGGAGCCCGCGGCCAGCCCCAGGGTGGGGGAGGCGCGGGGAGCGCGCCCGGAACCCACTCGGCAGCCCAGGCCCTGCTGTGCCCCCCGGTCCCAGCGCGCGCCTCCACCTAGCCGGGCACCGGCCTCCTCTGCCCCGGGGCACACCTCGCGCCCCCCCCCGCCACAAAGTTAAGGACACTTGAGAAAACGAAACGCACGCGCGCGCTCCGCACCAACACCCCTCGAATCGCCGCCTCACAGTTTCTCAAACTCCAGCCGAGAGACCCTCACCCCGCGAGCTCCCCCATCTTCCACCCGCAAGCAAGGGTGGCAGAGTTAGAGGGGACGGGGGTGGGTGCAGCCGGCGCTTTTGAGTTACCCACACCCCCCAAAAAAAACAACCCTGCCCCACCCCTGAGTCGGGTCACCCAGTCAGACGCCCCCTTCGGACACCTCATCGTCGCTGCCACCCCCCCTCCTGCCCCCCACCCCCGAGCCCTCGAGGAAAGTGTGGAGGGGGAGAGGCTCGGGGTATCCAGCTGGAGAAAATCGCTCCACTCACCTCAGGAGCCTGGCTGAGTTCTCTCTCTGTCTCGCGGGTAACCCCCTCCCCAACGTCCCAAGAAGAAGGGCTGAGGTAGGGGGGGAGGGGTGTCTTCCGCACGGGGTCCCCGGCGGGAGGGGGGCTGGGGAAGGGGGTGGAGGCCGGCGTGGGAGGAGGGGAAGGGGGAGGGGAGGCCCCTATCTCCCAGTCTCCCCCTGAAAACCTCCCTCGTCTCAATCACATCAGACTGACTGTCTTTGTCTGGCTGACAACCGCCATATTGATATCAACAGCCCCGCTCCCACCTGCTGCCGCCAGGCGGCCCTGGGAGTTGTAGTTCCCTGATCCCTGGGGTAAAAGCACGGGCCGCAGCACCAAGCGGCCCATGGGAACTACAGCTCCCGGCACAGCCCGCGCCCTTCCTCTTCCCCATAGGGAGGAGGGAAAGGGAGAATCAGCACCAACCGGAACTACAGGTCCCACAATACCGCGGGCATCGGGTCCAGTGAGGGGACATGATATCATCTTGGGGTGTGGAGAGGTTAAAAGAGGAGGCGATGGGGATAAATCGTAGCCGACAGAGGGAGGAGTTCTGAGAGGAAGGGGAGGAAAAGGAAGAAGAATGACCACAGTTCCCATCATGATGCCGCGGGCGTACTACAGTTCCCGTGATGCTGTGGGAGCGTGGGCGGGGCGGGCAGAGGGAGTAGGAGTTCGGGAAAAGACTCGCTATTCCGTCATGCTCTAGGACGTCTGGCGGCGGCGGTTTAGCCGGAAGTCCTTTTCAGGGAGTGAGGGAGTCCTGCCGTACACATATAACAGCGAAGATTTCAGTATGAAGCTGGTGAGTCTCCCCTCGAGGGTCAGAGGGTGAGGGTGATGCCTAGGATTTGGAAACCCGACGGCTTCTTATGTGGAAAAGCAACGGGGTGGGGGGGGGGGAGGAGAAATTGGTGGTGCAGAAAAGCATGCTGGGAGTAGGGTAGTTCATGTGGGAAAGGGTAGCAGGCTCAAGCCTTCGCGTGCCCGTGGCACTTAACTCTGTCGCCCATCACGGAGGTCATGGGGCTGGACCAGGGCCCTCTGCCAAGGCCTTTCACCAAGCCTGGTTCGGGTATTCCTTTTTCATTATCCTGCCTGTAATGCGTTGAAAAGAGCTCTCATTTGGGGATCGTGGCAAGCTGCGTTCAAATTCCCACTCATCTTTCTAACTTTGGGACAAGTAATTTGCTGGACTTCAGTTTCTCTTTTATGAAACCAAAGAAACGAACTACATTGGAAGTACTTAACTTTTTGTTTCATGGCCCTTCATAAATGCTTTTTGACCTGACTTGTTGACTTAGCATTCATGTGAAGCCTCCATCTTTTAAATACATTAAGATATGCAGAATTAAAAAATAAACCAATTATAAGGATATAGTTATCCAAATATTTTTAACATCAAGTTCATGGACCCTAGGTTAAGAATCCTTGGACTAATGTCTAGGATACTTTCTAGATCTTACGTGAGTGTCCTAGCCAGTCAGTCAGTATATTGTTTAGAGATTACTGTGTATACAGCACTGAACTAAGTTGTGGAAGGGTTAAAAAAAAAAGTCCCTGCATTGCAGGAGCTCATAATTTTGTTAAGGAGTCAGGATGAAGGGCATTGGTGCAAAGGAAAGATTCATACATCAGAGAAAGGAGAGGGTGCACATTGAGCTAATAGGAGGAACGAACAAGTAGGCAGTGCTTTTTTTTTTTTCTTTAGGCTATGCTTTCTTTGCTAGAGAAACAGCATTAGCAATGGCATGACAACTAGAAGGAGTGTCCAGTCCCTTCCAACAAGAATTTATTCATCATTCACCTTGTACCAGTCTAGAGGCAGAATTACTTAGTGGTTAGGGAGCTAGTTTCAGAACCAGGAAACCGTGGGTTCAGGTCAAGCCCAGACACGTTCAGGCTGTGTCACTCAGGGCAGTTTGCTTAAACTTAAGTGCCCATGGCAACTCATATATAAGACTGTTTATTACAGAGAAAGTATTAGTCTACATTGTAGAGGGAGTTTCTTCATCTTCCCTTTATCAATGAAATCACAGGGCTGGTACCTAGTCTCAGCAGCCTATGTACAAGTCACAGGTAGCCAGGTGGCACAGTGGATAGATTGCCAGCCAGGAGTCAGGAACACCTAGTTCAGAGTAGTGTCAGACACTAATTGTATGACCTGGGCGTGTCATTTAACCCTGTTTACCTCAATTTCCTCATCTGTAAAGTGAGCTGGAGAAGGAAATGGCAAACCACTCCAGTATTTCTGCCAAGAAAACTCCAAAAAGGAGTCATGAAAAGTTGGACACAACTGGAAATTACTGAACAACAAGAAATGTACAAGTCAATGTGCTTGGTGCCAGAGACACAAAGACAAAATAAAAATGTCCCTGCCCTCAAAGAACTTACATTCCACTGAGAGTTTTAACTACAACATGCAAACAGATGCGTAACTACTTGAGGAGGAAGAAAATACTGAAAACTAAAGGAATTAAACATGGCTTTTAAGGGAATTAGGAGACCATATCACTGGAATAGAAAGTGCTTCTATCTCAGAGGTGAACGTCTTAAAGTCAAAGATTTTTTTATGTGCACACACACATACATCTATATATTTTGTTGTTCATTTGTTTCAGTTGTGTCTGACTCTTTGTGACCCTATTTGGGGTTTTCTTGTCAAAGAAACTGGAGTGGTTTGCCATTTCCTTCTGCAGCTCATTTTATAAACTAGGAAACTGAGGCAAACAGGGTTAAGGGAATTGCCCTGGGTCACAAAGCTAGTAATTCTCTAAGGCCAGATTTGAACTCAGAAAGATAAGTCTTCCTGACTCCAGGCCCAACACTCTATCCACTGTGCTACCTAGCTTCACGCTCACGTGTGTGTGTGTGTGTATGTATGTATGTATGTGTGTGTGTGTGTGTATTGGTGTATCAAGGGTTGGTTTGGAATATATTCCATGAAGCACGTGCTGAGATACCCAGGCTGATTCTTAACAGCCCAAATGAGGCTTATGGTTGAAGGACTTGGGCATCTTAGAATGAAGAAACAGTCCCTGTGTTGGTCCCTTGATCCCATGATGGCAGCAAAGGATGTCTGAATCAAGTATACTGATCACTCATCCAGGAAAAGTGGTCCACCCAGGAGAAGTAGACCTTAAAAAAAGTGACTGCATCCTCTGGCTCTCTCTTCCCATCTGCCAAATATAAGAAACCTTTTTAAATTTTTCCTTGGAGGGGTGTGAGAAGGGCAGCTCACCTTTTCCGTGACACCAGTGACATTGTATCTGTGAGCATAAGGTAGCTAAAGTACCTATAGTGACTTAAGCAAGCCTGAGGTTAGGCCTCTGGCTGTCTCTTCTATTTTATAGTCCTTCTGTGAGCATAGGTGAGGAAGCATCAAGCCTGAGATGGATGTGTACAGCCTTGGAGGCAACCTTTGGTATTAGAGATTTGATGCTCCTAGGTTCCTCAGTTGGAGCTGACTGGCAATAGTAGGAGTATTTTGCAACTATATCTTTCTTGGAGAAGATAACCACAGATGAAGAACCTCTAAGTCTTGATGTTGTCAGAATGCCATGACTTGAAGAGATTTTGTTAGACAATGCAGAGCCAAGGTGAAAGTATAATACTAGTCCGACAACCCTTTAAAATGCTTCATTTTTTATATTTTGAGCCTCAGTTTTCTGGGAGAGTATAACCAGAACTAGAAAAAATCAAACAAAGCCTCCAGCATATTCCTGCGGCTCCCTACTGCCTCCTGGAAAAATTATGAGATGACATGGACAAGAGTTCCACAGAATGAGCAAGTCTGAATGGGCTGCATCTTTGGAAAGAACATCTATATGGATGAGATCACAGATCCATTTAAGTATAACAAAAACCCTGAGTCATCAAGAAAACATTAAATTCATTGTACATTTTTAGAAAGGCAGAAGGATGGTTGATACGTTTTAGAAAGATTTCCATCCAAAATAATTAAGTAAAATAAATGTATTTGGAAGTGACAAATTCTCTGAAAAACTCATCTAGAAAAAACATGTTTTCAAAGAAATCTAAATGGATTTTACCATGTTAAATATAGCTTTGTTCATGAAATCATATTGGATATATTTAGAAATAAGAATGGGAGATTAAAAAAACAGATTTCAGGGAAGCTTTTTTTTTTCTTTCTTTCTTTTTTTTTTTTTTTTGCTGGGGGTTTTTGTTTTGTTCTTTGTGTGTTTTTTCCCAGTAGAACAGAAATACTATTGTAGGGGAGATATTTTCTGAAATTTTCTTCCCTGTCGTCTTGGCTTTCTTTTCTTATCTCCAAATTGCTGCTTATTTGTTTTTTTTACAAGTACTAATATGAAAGAATTTATATAAGCAAAACAGCAGGGTTTGAAAAACATTAAATTCTACTTCTTAGATACCTCTTTATTTTTCTTTTTTTTTGGTGAGGAAATCAGGGTTAAGTGACTTGCCCAGAGTCACACAGCTAGTAAGTGTTCAGTGTCTGAGACCAGATTTGAACTCAGGTCTTCCTGACTCCAAGGCTGGAGCTCTATCCACTGTGCCACCTACCTGCTCCCACCTCTTTTCTTCAAAGAAAGTAAGTTCACCTGCAGGCCTCAGCTGCCAGTTGTCTACGTAAATATTGTGTGTTAGGATGGAAGTAAACCACTCTGATTTATATAATGAAATGAAATAGGTCTACAACCCAGATATTAAAATGGGTTCTAGAGCAGAGATGTTAACACTTGCCACTGCAGGCCAACACCATAAAACTTCTGAGCCTGACCTAAATTAAAATGTTATTGGGAAAGTAAATTTAACAAAACAAATTAAATTGCAATAAAAAAAAGATGTTAATCTCTGATTTTCTAAGTCAGTATGCATCCCTCAGGGATCTCTTTCTATTTAAATTTGTTACCACTACTCTAGAGGATTATTGGGACCAAAGAAGAAAAGACTAAGGGATTAAGAAATTAGAGGGAATAATATATAGGGAAGTTATTATAAAGGAATTGTTACAGTTGAGGACAAAGTGAACTTGGAAGTATTGGGAGGCATGATGTGATTGAGTCCAGGAGTGGAAGTTAGGCTCTAATCCTGTCTCTCAGGTTTACCACCTATGTCACCTTGAGCCAGTCACTGATCTTCACTGAGCCTCTTCTCATCTACAAGATGGGAGACAGTACTTGCACTATCTGAAAAAGAGAGAGGTCAGTGTTCCCTGAGGGAAAGCTGCTATTGGCTGGCCTAACTTGTGTCTGCCACGTAATAACTCCCTCCTCCTTAGACTTCTACCTCCTTCTGCATCTGCCTGATCTCCAGTGTTAGGTTAAAAGAGGAGTGAGACCTTTCTCTGACTTCTCAGGCTTCATGTCCCCTGATGGAAGGCAGCTAGGGGGCTGACAGAGCAACTTCCATCTACTGCTGCCTGCCTGATGTCTTGCTAGTGATATGGAGAGCCTGTGGTGCATAGAGGAGCAATCTTCCCATTGATCTCATGCCTTTCATTGCCTGGTAAGCCTGTCCTGTGAAGGAAGAGAAAAAACAGTCAGCGGAGAGCACAATTTTGGTCTCCTGCAGTTTACCTTCTCCTGCCTAATCTGCCTTCAGAAGGAAGACAAGTGGTTAAACAAAGGTCCCCTTCTCCCCCATCTGACTATGGGCCTTCCATCTCATGCTTTACTTGTCTTCTGCCTGATCTCCAGTCTCTTCTTTGAAAAACAGCGGCATCTTCCATTCAATAATGAAGTTTCACACTTAGTTCATATCATATACATACCAAGGATTCTGAACCCTTGTAGGTCTCATCATCCAAACCCCATTCCC